CTACTACTACTACTACTACTACTACTACTACTACTACTACTACTACTACTACTACTACTACTACTACTACTACTATCGCCATTTGCTGTCGCCTTTATCGTTGTGACAAGAGAATTTATTCTTATTTCTGTTCTATTGTTGTCTCTATTTAGGTAGAAATCATCCTCGTCATTAATTAATTAAACATAATCATTGCAGTGGTTTCATGTCGATACAATATTATAGACCATCCAGGAAGCAGACTTCTCTAACCTGTATCGGTGCTGTTGAGAGCCTCGTGTCTTAAGAAGCACATACCATCTCACTTGTCTCAACCTGCTTCAAACCGTAGTATTTTATTAAAACCATTTTCGTAACTTCCATTTTTTTTAAACATTTAATCTTTAGACGTGTGTCTCTGGTAACAGTACAATGTTATGTTGTTGTCCCTTTTGTCGTTATGATCGACCGTGTCAATGTTTTAGATAACAGGTCTTTTATCCTACTTTATCGTTCCCTCTGTCTATCTGTGTTTTCCCCCGCACTCTATTGGCTTTTGTGGAATGATGATGCTTCTCTTTATATTGCACCCAACCAAGCTCATAATGGCCATGTTCTAGACAAAGCAGCAATGGATCTTTGAACTTAATCCAAATTGTAATCATTCTGGTCGGCAATGTGTGCGAAACAGAGACTTGAATTCAGTCGCGGTGGATAGTGAAGGGCTTACAGGGCTTGAACCCCCACCCAAACTGTATCCCTTACTAAATAAAAGTTTCTTAACCCTATCCGTACGTCGTGTTTTACTATCGTATCCATACGACGTGGGAAACTCGGTGCTACCACTTTCCAAAGAGGAAATTTACTTGTTAATCCGACCCGTACGCTTTGCATAGTAGTCTGTCATAATGATTTTTTGAGAAATGCTGAAAGTTTCAAGGAGATCTTCGTACTAGAAGTATTCTAAAATGTGAAGAATACAACCCCTGGAGTACAAAATGACCCCAGGGCGTACGGATTGGGTTAATACGAAATAAGCAGTAGAAACCGCTATGATGGCACGCAATAAACGTACAGTGATCAACTTGACGGCTCGTGCCTTTATCCAGTCACTGTTGTCACCGTTTACAACTATATCAACCTAACAGACAGTCAATGTCTTTTGGGCTCAGAAAAGGAAAAGCCCGTTCCCACACCCAGTTCGTAATGAAACTCTTCTTGTTAAGCGGTAGAATATTTGAAAAAAGAATATTGTACTGGGGGCTCACGCTCTACTAGCCCTGACAATGGGGTGAAAGTTTACGAGGCACTTTCCCCCAGTGGCATAGTTACCCGTGCGCTCATTGGACATTTGTTAGGTGTGTTTTACTTTTAGCGACTACACGTCCCAATCCATTTCATAGACAGAATATGCCTGAAGTGCTGTATTTGTGTTAGTCCCGCTGAAATATAACAGTAATTACATCGAACCAGATGGATTAAGAGGAAATTTGGAGGGGAAACGGTTTCGTCCCCACCATCCTGAAGATTTTTACTCAGAACAAAGAGACGGAAGACAAAAGTGACTCTTTTCGTTTGAATGGTTCTCAAAATGCCGTGGCTCACCGTGAGTATAGAAAACCCATCACTGTTTAGTTCTTATATGCTTGTTATTTTATGGTAAAGAAGTAGAAGCAACATAAGCCCCACCCAAATTTTGGTGCACTCTCCGCCACTGCTTGAATTATGCAATCCTAGTCCGGGCACTGTCATGGCCGCCGCTCTTCGCTGTCTATAAAAACTTCGCTGTTTTTAGTATTCTAAAATATTGTGTTGCTGGTTCTTTTCAGGGTGGCGTATTCATCTTTCAGTTGTTTCACTGGGTCACACAGAGTGGAATCTTCCTGAGCCTCATCTGTGTGCTGCAGTGTTGTGTGGTCGCTTTTGTCTATGGTAACTTTATATAATGTTGTTGTGTATTCACGGTTTCATATATAATATCATGTCGTAACGTTTTAATAATTATATTGTTGTATGACCGCATTGGTCTATGGTAACTTTATACAGTAATATGCTGTTGTATGTTAACATTTTTTTTACTGTGGTAATACTACTGTAATAATAATATCTCCATGTGGTCACTTTTGTCTATGTTGACGGTGTATGTTGTTGGTGGGTGGTTGGCGGATGCTCTGGCGTGGTCTGTTCCTTCTTTCTTATCAAACGTCTAACGTTATTATCTCTCCTTCTTTTCTCTCTACTAACGCCACTAAGTCTCCTGCACTTTATGACACAACTATCATGCAAGTGCTGTGAAACTATTGCCAAATCTAAAAGAAGTAAACGTTATTGTGTATACCCATTTTTGTCTATAATAACAGTGTGAGTTGTTGGTCAATTTTGTCTATAAAAAGGGTATATCTTGTTTGTCAATTTTGTCTATTCTAACGGTAAAATGTGTTGTTGTGTTCGATCACGTTTTCTATGATAACGATATAGGGCCTAATATGTACGTTGTTCTGGTCAGTGTCAGTTTTGACTCTGGTAACGGTACATGCTATTCTTCAGCGTCTGTGGTGTAGCAGTTACGTGCTTTCCTGTCGCAAGCAGGAGACTCGAACTAGATTCCCGAGTGGGAAATATTTCGATCAAATATCTCGGTCCTTCTGCTGTTGGTGTTGATGATGTATCCATCTCAGCTCGAGTCTGAAATCTGCCTTCTAAATGATTAAAATTGTGTCGATAGAGTCGCAAAAACACTTACATTACGAAAAATAATTCTATTTTAGCACTTTGTTCTGGTGGCACGTTCGTCTATGGTAACAGTACATGTTGTAAAATGTGTGTGTTTGTGTAAGTGTATATTTTGAGTGTGAGTATATGTGTGCATGTGTGCATGTGTGTATGTGTGTATGTGTGTGTGTGTGTGT